ATTTCCATGTTTATGACATTCTCTTTCTGGCCATTAAATATTCATGTCCCCTTGGCGAAGGTCAGGAAAGATCTTGAAAGCAGACTAGCAGTCATTTTCCAAGAGAGTGAGTTGGAAGCAGAGTCAGAGTAACTTATAGAAGTTGACTGTTTGCAAACCATCGAATTATCTTCAAAGAAACAATTTAATTTTCGAAGATCTGCTGGTATTTACTCAACAAGAATACTTCACATGGCTCTATCTTTGATTCAATAGACTTTGGTTAAATCTCACTCAGCATTACAAAAGCTCAGTGCTCACAATGTTGGTATTGAAAACACACAATATAACATAAGTAAACCTCTCACTGCCTCCGTTTTTAATACGTGTTGGCTTTCTGAAACGTGTTGGAATCATTGCATCATGAACAAAAGCTCTGTGTGAACTTCATAACCCTGAAGGCTGTCATGTTACGGTCAGTGGAAGCACATGAATGATGAATGAGCTGTAATTAATACAGAGATTAACACTGTTTTTGATCTTTGCAGGCACAACATATTATGCTGTTTGGAAAAATGTGCCTCAGAATCAAGACCGGGAGAGGATATTAAAGCTGAAGTGAAATGAGAGGATGTTTGCTTGGGTAAATGTCTGCTTCCTCACTCCATCCAATCTAGCATCATGCTTTAACCTTAACCCGCTACTCATTGCTGTCTGTTTGAACGCCCACTTTGGTCAACATGGATCAATTATTCTGTCAAAACTCCACTGCTGCTGTGGGCTGCAGTCAAATAGAGAAAGAGAAGTGGAACCGTTAAATCTTTCCCTATTTTTAGACATTTCTCCACCAATTTAATCTTCTCCAGGGTCATGATGAGCTGGATCCTATCACAGCATGAATTAAGTCAGAGGAGAAGGAAAGTAGCCTGGAAAGTTTCCACTGTGTCAGTGGGCTAACCCAGAGAGACAGTAGAACACATTCAAAGCAACATTTCACACTCTCTGGTGCATCTAACTTAATCGAAAAGGCAAACATAAGAAGCCCACACAATAAAACCAACAAACAAAAGAATGAGTCACCTCACTGTTCTCATATTATTGTGTAGCTTAAAGCGTTTTAATTTCCCCGATTTGTTATTTTTTGATAAAGCCCTTCCTGTACTATCTTGATCTCTCTAATTGTCCTTATCTTTAGGTGAATTAGCTGCGCTGCAAGTGCCTCTTAATAACCTGTTAAGCCATTTTATTTTGGCATTTCAACACAATTATTTCCATGAATTCACTCTGGGATGGTTTCAAAATAAACATAATTAGCTAATCAATAGCTATGTTTGGTTGGAGAAGTTGTTGTGATAAGGCATGTTGTATTTCCACAGTGGCGATTGTGGTGGCAATTCCACACTTAATCACCTCATTGTGTTACATGCCGAGTATATGAGTGGACTTATACATCAGTATGGCAAAACGTACGGTGCAAGGACAGGTTTGAGTGCAAATGTTATAAGATGGCCAATTGATACAACTATTTTTACATAGACAAAGATTTCATAGGTACTGTAGTTTTAGTCCATTTCATAAATAAACACAAATGTGATTTAAAATGTTACAGAAAACAGAGAATATAGAAAATAATATATTGTATGGCAACATTAGTGATTCCACTAAGAAAAAGAAAATGTTTCCTTGTTATGGAAATGTTGTGCATGTAGCTATTACTGTTCACGTCTAGTTCATTTTATTTGAGTATCCCAAAATAACAAAAACACCTTAATGGGTTTTTAATTGTTACTAACAACACAAACATGAAAGTGGGGACTGTTGGTTTACCTACATACCTATGGGGCCTACATCTTGAAAGCTAACAATCATCAAACTCCTTCTGGGCAAGGGTTCACCCCCCCCCCCAACTGTTTAAATAAACATTAACATGTTGAACTGGAACGATTTGTTAAGTAACTGGAGAAAAAGAGTGAGAAGAACAAGTGAACACTTTCCTGTAAAAAGACAATTGTGTTTAGAATTGCCAGCATCATGTAATTTTCAGCCATTAGAGAGGAACACCATAAACACTTTATTGAACGGTGTCTCCTTTGTTGCAACATAATTGCTTGTTCTCGCTGTTGATATTTTCTTGGATACCAACAGACACAATACATCTGATGCACAGCATAAACCTTTGTCCACTCTATTGATTTCACACTTCTTCAGTAAAAACACTGTAGCAATTTTGAAAGTGTATTTGAACTGCAAAAGACACCCCAAGCTCATCATCCGTCATAACCAATTTGAAGTGGATTGAGCCACAAAGAAAGCAGCAGCCAATGTTAGTGCCCGGAGAGAATCTCATCAGGGATGCAGGCCATGGCTCACAAAAACCCTTTATTCAAGAGCGCCAAGCAACTCCTGTCTTCTCCTCCTGTCAAAGACACTTCTGGAGTGTTCCCTGTTCAAACAGTTTCACAGGGGGAATCTCCAACAGTACTGTGCTTCACTGCCCAGCCCATCACCTCTCCCCAACCTACTGCTGCTCTGACAGGGCCTGGAGACACCGCTACACCTCCGCTCTGCAGTGAACACCACCTGTGCTCATACACACCTGATGTGCACAAAGAAGGCTATCCTGGCTCCAACAATGATGGAACAAGCTCCCCATTGATATCAGTACAGCGGAGAATCTAAATATCCTGGCATCCTATATAACTGCATTACTAGAGGGTTTTGGCACATTTTAATATGCACCAGCATTTTAAAATAGTTTGGCTTACAAATGTTCAGGGTCTATCTTGCTGTTTCTGAACTTGTATCTTCTTGGTTTATAGCACTTTTGTAATTTGCCTTGAATAAAAGCATCAGCTAAATGAAATGTATCGTTGTTAACGTAATGATAATCTGAACACCTCACCACCACCCCTCCCCCCCCTGCCCTGTGTCTCATATGTGCTCCTAACCTGACAGAGCTTTGCATCCTCCTGTCTCATTTGCTGCCTTTGAACCGTCTAAACAAAGACTAAACAAAGAACAGATCTGTCTTCTTTCCTTAGAGAAGGGGATCATTGATTAGCATACAAAAGTGAAAAGGCTTCCCACCAGGGCAGAGGTGACTCCTGCTGTCAAGGACATTCTCTTTCTGCAGGAGCACATTCTCTAGGGAAAGGTCTGGATGGCAAACTAAGTATTGAAGACATGACTCCAGTCAAGAGCTCTTTAGGTGAAGAATGTTCCAGGATGCGTTATAGAAAAGATAAAATATGCCAATCAAGAAGGTTGTCAGTAGGCTAATGTTTTTAAGACTTTAGGCCCTGACACACCAAACTGACACCAAAGAACACGTCCCGACGGAACACGACTGTTGTGTCGCCTCACGTCTCCTGCTTCTTGGCCAACAGTCGCTCTGGAACACACCGCAAAGACTTTAGCCGACGGCCAAGTAGCACGTACGAACTGCGCATGCGTGAGTGGCAATAACTCTCCTTACCAGCAGGCGGCGGTAGTGTGTATTCGCCATTCAAAAGAGGCAACAACCGGAAGACAGAGAAGAAGAGCAGACTCCGTGATAAACAAACAACAAATAGCGTGTGCGTTCCATTTTCACTCTCGTCCATCGAAAACATGTCTTGTGCGGTACTGGAGCTATCAGCCATTGGGGTGTTGCTTGCGGAAGACATTCTTCATGCCTTCTTAAAGCGTTTGTTTACGTCCCTCACCTACGTTTTGCTTCTCATGCACTGATTCGCTAGCTGAACAGCCAATCCGAGTGATTTATTTGGCCCGACTGCCCGACCCGACGCATGGCCGATTCAATAGCCATGCGTCGGCCATGAAAGGCCAAATAAGGCGTGTCACGGCCGACGGTGCGGGACACACCAAATTGAGTTTGGGCGACAGGGCACGCTTCGTCGTCCGACTAACACCGACGCCGATAATCGGCCTGGTGTGTCCGGGCCTTTAGGAAATATAAACATCGGCACTGATGTTTGACTGCTAGTATTTTTCTGTCCCAATACTGTCAAAGCCACTTCTTCAAATGCTGCTGACAATCTTCTTGAACAACTGTGAACTGGTATACAGGATGAATGTCAAACCACATAGCCTGAAGCACTTTTTATTTCATTAGTATTTTCAGGCTTACTTCAAAAACAGAAAAGTGTCTGAAGGTTTATTTGCAGTCAAAAATGTGCCAGTGGTCTCATATAAATCCTAACTGAAGTAATCAGCTTGAAAACAAAAGGCTGAATATAAAGCTGTGCATCTTACTCCTCCACAAACTGTGAACTCCATCAGTATGCAGAATGAGCGCTTCCTCACTTTAGCCGGAGAAAAACAGCAACAAACCGCAGAAAGCTACGTTTTCTATTATTGTATTATGTACAGGCATCTTTTTGATTCCTATAAACCAGAACATTTTAACAACATACTATAGCTCTTATATGGCATGATAAGCTACTATATGACTTTTAAGAAAATGTCTATGACATTATACTGTGTCATATTTCAGGACATAATAAACTGTGATGCTACAAACAAGATTAGTGTTATGAATGTCAGACTTTACTATGACACATTTTAAGACATGCCATAGTCCTACTATGACTTTGTATTACATTCTAATCTACGACATACCATATCATTTTGATGACTAAACTATGATGGCTTTTAAAACCTTCCATACTATGACAATATTCTTTTTTTATGTTATTCTAAACCATGATTTTTCTTGTTGCAAACTATACTATGATACTTAGACATTTAGGTATTTTATATTTATTATTTACATTGCTCGTATTTCCTTGTAAATTGGCTGCTTGGAAATGTTTTATGGTAATGTTGGTGAACTCGATCTTTAGATTCACTTTGCACTAAGTTGTTCACCATAATCAATAAAAACAATGCTTTTGACATAGAAGTAAATATGCTATTATGCCTGATGCTACAACGGTATCCAATCCGCTTGCGCGCGCTCACTCTCTCACTATCTCTCCGTCTTTGCGCGTGCACCAAGGCACAAAAACGCAGCAGCAGCTCTTCTCTCGTGCCTCTTTCTCGTATTTTCTTGTGATTACCGACAGCTGCAACTTTTGTCAGCAGACAGCTGCCGGTGGTTCCTCTTCTCTCTCGCTCTCTCTCTCTCACACACACATAAACAACAAGCTGGACACATTAAAAGTCGAGAGCGCGGCAGCTGGATGATGTCATATCCGTGAAGAAGAGTCCCTAAACGCAGCGAAGATTTTCTCTGCATGCATTCCCAAAAACTTTTCTCCTCTCGTGCAGTGACGACGTTGCACCCCGCTGCCCACATGGCATGCGTAACGGGGACGAGTGTATGGCTTTGCCCCCCTCCTCCTCCGCAGGAAGTCGTGGTTTTCACCAGCGCCTAGTGGACGAGGTGGCGCGAGCCCACGGGAAGAAACTTGCACGGAAATTGTTGTGAGCGTCTCGGAGGAGGAGGAGGAGGAGGAGGCGGAGGCGGAGGGAAACATACCGTCAGGATGAGGTCTCTGTCCGTGGTCCTGAACCCGCTGCTGTTCCTGCTGATGTTCGGATACTGCCCGTCAGCGGTGAGTTCACTGCCTGAACATTTATCTAAAAAAAAAAGAACATAAAAACTCAAACCTGTCCTTTGCTTTAAACTCCACTTGATTTGGAATGTTTCTATAAGGGTGGAGCATTGCAAAATGGTTGGTGAGTGACCAACAGAGAGAATGAGTCATTTCAGGTTGTTTTGCATGTTTGGCTGCTTCTTTGCTATAGTCACTGTACCCAATCCAGCTTTGGCACTGAAAACAAATGGAGGAAATGTTATGGGGGAAAAATTCTCGCAAACAATAGAGACTGAATTTAAAGTGGATATAGAAGAAGAAGCATCCTCACAGCACTCATGTTTATTGCCTACATCAACCACATAGTGCTGATATTGATCCTGGAGCATTGCCAGGCATATAAGTCACGTCTGAGGGAGAGTTCAATCATTGTAAATAAATATATAAATAAACCATATTGCTGCTGTGAATTACATCCAAATCCCCTCCTAGAAAGAAGCTGCACTAAACATCTTGGCTGCACTGATTCAACTAAAAATGATTCATGAATATCTGTTTCCATTTTCTTCATCATGCTACCAGACATTTGTGTTCTAAAATGTGATACTTGTAGGGACATGTATCCCCCTAGTTGAAGCTTTGTGGAATTGGAGAATTATCACAAGTGAGGAGGAGCAGCTTGCAGATCACCAAGCTCCAGAAAATTGGTCGATTAGGTTCACCCCACCCATGCCGAGTACAGTCCCTGTGTGAGTGTCTTGATTGCAGAGCAGTGTCCTAACAGACTGCATCACCTTGCCATGATGGAAAGTCGTGTGCAGAATTAATGTTTCTCGTTTCTTCTTAAAAACGGGGACGTTTACAGGGCACTCAAAGCTGAATCTGTTAGAAAGTCAAAATGAAAGGCAAAAACAAAAGAGGAACCAGATGTCTGAATTACTTAATTACAGAACAACTCTTTGTGTAGAGTTAGAGAGTGCATCTGGCTTGGCCGAGTGACAGACTCATTTTAATATGGGGGAATGTGAGAGTGAGAAAAGGGTGTAAGGATGTGCGTCACTCAAGAGACAGAGCAGAAAGACCGTCTTTAGCAGAATAGTGAAACTGGATTATTTTGAGGAGCAAAGTCAGGATAATAAAGAGCTAAAAGAAAGTTTGTTCTCCTTTAATCAGTTTATCTATAATGCTGTGAAGGAGATGCAGATTCCAGCTACAGACATGGTGCACCAAGCCATTTGGTTTCTCCTATACTTACAATGTATATGCATTATATATTCCCATGCCATTTGCAGAGTAGTTTGAATCATCATGATATTGGGCATTATAACTCGATGGTGGCATTTCATTCATTTTTTCTTTTGTTAGACTATGTTATTCTACTCTCATGGCTTCGATCAAAAAATCGTATAAGGACCAAGCGAGCATCAGGGCATCAGGAGAATACGTTTTAATTCCTAGATCACAAACTTTACCAGCAACCAATAGCATCGATGACAAAGATCAGGCCTGCCGTGCTCTGAGAATACCTAAAACAATGTTCTTACAATCTGATAATGGCAACGTAAGAGAGCTGGGAGAAGGATGGACAGCTCCAGACTGATCGTGCAGAACATATTTTTTAAAATACATTTTTGACTTTAAGATAAGAAAGTGAAAAGAAGATGTGGCAGATGAGTCAGGTGTTAAAAAGACAGCACTTTTAGGCATCGTAAAATACAAAATTGTATCTGCAATTTCTTTCTTCAAACACAGGACTTTCCTATGGCAGTGATACTACTATAAAAAAAGTCTCATTTAACCCTCCTGTTGTCTTCGGGTCAAATCTGACCGATTTACTACTTTCATCTCTCACACACACACACACACACACACACACACACACACACACACACACACACACACACACACACACACACACACACACACACACACTGCAGATGTGTTCCCCCCCTTATGTGCCCAATCCCCCCATGTGAATCACACACTCACACACACACACTCACACTAACACACACACAGAACAAGGACACATTTCCCGCTCTTATGTGCCCATCCCCCCACATGGATCACCCCTGGCACACGCAATACATGTTCAGTGTCCATTCTTTGTACATTTACTGCAGTTTTTCATGTATACCAGTAGTCTGATGCAATATGTACAGTTTGAAAGGGTGTTAAATGAAATTTGGTGATGATTAATGGTTTTTGTGTTAATGTAATTGCAGCTAAAACAGGACTGGTCAAATTTGACCGTGAACAGCAAAGTAAGGGGGGGGAAACAAAGACAATAGGAGGGTTAAGCAAAAATGAAAAATCTAACTGAGCTTGTTCCCCGGTGAGATGTCTTTGCCTGCTCTGAGGGGCTAGGATCTTTCCTGGCGGATTTCAAACACTATTTAAACTATTCTGGCAAACAGATCAGATGAATGGGAAAGGGATGCCTGCACTTTGAAAACAGGGCACTCTTTTTTCTATCCACAATTTTCAAAACCTGGATGATGCCAAAGTTCACATTTCTCATGTTATTCTGCGGCCAGATTTGGTTTTAGGGTGCAAAACAAAATCCAGATAATGGTTGGTCGTCTGCCAAAGAACCTGGTAGTGCCGACAATTTACAGTCCAAGTCAAAGGTTGCCAGTATTTGGCTGGAGGCTTGTGATAATTTCCCTTGCTGAAAATAAACAGTATTTTTCAAATACTGATGCTGTTTGAGCGTTGGCATTCAACTTTTCCAGAAACTTTGATCAATATATACTGTGTACACATGGGTGATGCTGCATGAACATATGCTGCATTGACCTACAATACACAACTTGTATTCTTCAAACTTTATACTCTGGTGCTATGGAGCATATTGAATGTAATAACGAGTGGGAAAAGCTCCCACAAATCGGGTTTATCTGCGATTCCCAGCAGGACTTTCATTTAAGGCCTAGAGAGAAGAAACAGAGGAATTTCCGCACTTGGGTTATTCATCAAGGCCAGGAAACACTATTTATTGTTGAAGAGTAATTCACTGGAGATCATATAGTGTGGAGGAATACATTAGAAGCAAAAGCAATGTATTATTTCAAAGCCCACACTTTTTTATAAGTCAGTGGAACCGGCTGTTTTTAAAGGTCTGGGAACAGAAGGGAGAAAAATGGGTGACCCATGAGAAAAAAAAAACTAGGAAAACATCTGTGTGCTGCAATTTAATGATAGTGATATCATCTGCACTAGTGTGTGTGATATTAGGTGTGTGTGTTTACGCCTGTGTTTCTGTACGCAGACCATCAGGCCGAAGGAGGGGTGGCAGGTGTACAGCTCTGCTCAAGATGCAGATGGCCGTTGTATCTGCACAGTGGTGGCACCTGAACAGAACCTGTGCTCCAGAGATGCCAAAGGAAGACAGCTCCGCCAGCTACTGGAGAAGGTACACACACACACACACATTTCTGCTTACACTGCAACACACAGACTCTGGAAACTCACACTTTTACTGTAAGCAACCATCACATCATCTATTCTCTCAGAAACATATCACGTTGTTTCCCATCTTTATTCATGCTTCTTTGTTGCTATAATCCCTTTGAGAGATTGCACCAGCCAGGTTCATAACCCTGTTTTCCACTTCTGAATATATTACATGGATGAAATCAGCTGGCTGAATGGATGCTTGAGAACATAAGAACGCTCTCCATCCCACCTCAACAGAATTAGAGGGTCCCTGTTTTTCTTAATGTTTGTTTAACAAGTCATTCAAGGCTATTTGACGTTTCTAGTATTATCAGGATTTAAGCGTTTGATTGTTTCTCTCAGTGGCCTCATAAGAAAATCAGCTTTTAAAGAGTGTTTTTTCTTCTTACATCTACCATCATGAATTTAAATGTGAATATATATTTTCCCCATGACAGTAGTGATCTATCTACAAACAGCAGAGGGGTCACTTTCGTCAGTCAGCATCCCATAACACGGCTCTAGCCTACATGTTAACGCTGTACGCTAAAGGTTGCTCTCTGTCATTCACTGGGAAACTAATGTACTAAGCTGCCCAAGGGCTTCAGTCGAGCCGTTCCAGGACCCATCTACCAGAGCCAGAGCCGTGTGCAGGACACAAAGTGTGAGTGTTGTGCCACTTTGCTAGTGACATGCTCCAAGGATGTTGGCTGGTTAGAAATAGAGTCAAAGAGAGAAGAGAGAAAGGACTACATTTCTTCTTGTTCACATGCCCCATAAAGCTAGTAGGCTTTTGTCAAACTAGAGAAAGAAACATCTAGTATGATACCTTGTAGATTTAATCATTTACCATTGTAATGACATATAGTTAAAAACCGAGAGAACACAGAGCAATAAGGGAGCTGTGTAACAGTTCTGTGTCCATTTAAAATCCATTCGGTGCTCTATTCAGCTCACACATGGATGGTTAAAAGACAATCTTGTTGGAGGTCAAAATGTTGATTTGTTCCGTGGGAAGTTAGAGCCTGGCAGAGCACTGAGCGGCTGAACATGGAGGACATTTAAATCTGGTGTTGGACGGGGGGAAAAATCAATGATGTTTCATTCTTTTCAAAAGGTGCAGAACATGTCGCAGTCAATCGAGGTGCTGAACCTGCGCACGCAGAGGGACTTTCAGTACATCATGAGGATGGAGAGCCAGATCAAAGGGCTGCGGTCAAAGTTTCGACAGATCGAATCTGACAGGAAGACGCTTGTCAACAAAAACTTTCAGGTTTCCCTTGTTTGATGTTAAACTTTGTGAGAAACATCACAGGACGGGCTGTGGAAGGATCTCCTCTAAAGAAACCAGAGAAGCTTCTGAATAAACCTTTACCTGACTATATTGATGTCTTAAAATCTAATCAGACCGTGAAGGAACAATTCAGCATGGATTATTTCTTTATTTTCATTTTCCATTTAACGGTTGAATAGTTTTTATTTTTCGTAGCAGTGATTAAAGGTGGGGTAGGTAATTTTGGAGAAACCAGCTCGAGTGCGCTAGAATTTGAAAATACACAGCCGGAAAACATCTGCCACTTCCTTACAGAGCCCCTCCTCCAACACACACAAACGCGCACATGACCAATGAGGGCACGAGATAAGTTTGTGCACAGATGGAAGGCTGACAGGCAGGTAGGCCATCCAGTTATTTTAGCCGGGCCGGCTCAGATGATTGGTCGTGCTTTTTACAGCGCTACGGCTTCCACAGATGACATTTTGTTATGGATTTTTTGTCAAAGCACTTCAGATATTCATTGCTATCGGGATGTTAAGAGCATTCCATGGAATATAACAAAAAGTGTATCTCGAGCCGGTTTCTCAAACTTAAAAATATGAATATCAAAATACTTTTATTAGTCGAGTGTGTTTTTTAATTACATAAACTTAACGGCTACATTATGCTATTCAGATTCAGTTTATCAATGCAGTTATGGAAGTTAAACAAAACAAATTATGCATTATCAAATTACGTTTTTTGAAAGCAATTACTCAAATTAGGCAATACTTAAAAAAAGACATAATTTCCCATTGACAGGCAATACATCAAATGTTGAATCTGACAAGTTATATGAACCCGCATATTTTTATGCAAATATAAGCAACAATTAGTCTTCTACTTTTGTATGTGCCATACAACTAATTTACAGTTTACTATTAATATTATTAGCTGTAATATTCAATAGGAATTGAAGGGCGACTTTTGATTATATGTATCAAGTATTTTCTCACTAATATAACCAGATCCAGTTATGGCATCATAAAATATATGGAATAAATCTGCCCGTAGAGTCTTTGAGTCAAATTTCTTCAACAACTGAAAAAAGGGAATATAATAGAGGAGACAATATGCTTCAGTTTTTTTCCCGGCTTTACAGATTTGTTTTTTGCAGCGGTGTATTCTTGTTGTTTTCTAGGAGCTGAAGGGGAAGATGGAGTCCCTGCAACCGCTGATCCCAGTCCTGGAGCAGTACAAGACCGACGCCAGGCTCATCATCCAGTTCAAAGAGGAGATCAGGAACCTGTCTGCCGTGCTGATGGGCATCCAGGAGGAGATGGGAGCCTACGACTATGAGGAGCTGCAGAAGAGGGTCCTAAACCTGGAAAATCGGCTCCGCAACTGCATGAGCAAACTCAGTAAGTCCATCACAGAAATGATGGAGACTCACAAATGATTATCCAATGGTTAA